AAATAATACAATATTTGCTACTCATTTAAATCATAAAAATATTTAAACATTAGTTTAAGAATATATTCATATCTAAGCCATTAAATGGTAAGATTAAAGTGAAATCGAGACAATTATTGTATTAGTGATAGCATTGGCAGCAATAATGGCATAAATATTAGACATTTAATTGGATGATAGCATAGATATTTGCATTGTTCATATTTAAACCATTGTACTTAACATTGAGTTTATGTATATTATAATAGCATTTATTGACGAATGAAGTGAATTAGTGGTAAATTAATATAAATGGCAAATAAGTGAATACGAGTCAAATGAACAGACAATGAAGGGAATGGTAGGGACAGGAAGGGACTGGTAGGTTGAGTGGACAACAAAGGTGGTGTTACCTGAGAGTCTGCATTCAGTGATGAGTTCATTGAAGCACTGGTCGATATATGATGTCTGGTCTAATTTGGTTGAGATCCACATGTCGTAAGGATTGTTAATGCCTTTGATTAGTGTCGAGAAGCGATTGAAAACACTTTATAATGATATCAATATTATTAATATATTTGACAAACACTCGACAACATCAGGCAGTCGTCCATATGATTGCCTTAAAGCCCACTCCCTTACGTCATATGAGCTCTACTACTCCGTGCAACTGTCAGACTACCAGTGCCTCCCTGCGCTCGCTTGTATACATGGCTCATAAAAACCTTTAAACTACAGTAACAGTAATCCAATGAATGTTGTCACTAAGAGTACAGTCTAATCCGGTTTATGGTTACTATTTGAGATCGTGTTTTACTTTTTACCATGATCATTTATGTGTTATAATTTACTATCAAGTCATCGCTAACGTAAATAAGTTTATTAACAATTTTAAAATGTTGTCAACATTGAGAGATACAGTACTTGTCAATAAATTTTATCAGATGCAATAATTTAGTAACTAATTCAAAAAATTCACTCATTTCTGTCAAATATACACTAAAATAAATTATCTGTTAAATATTCATAGGAATTTTAATTATCATTATTAATTTCAGTATTTTAGTTAATTATGCTCTACAATATATTAATATTAACTAGGTAATGTAATGTAAAACTATTATAAATCAATTTAGTATTGATTTTGTTACACCTATTTCTATAAGTTATTCATTTATTGTTCAATATTAGGTATTCATTTCATAAATGATTAGCAAAAGTTGGTCAAAGTTTAAGTGAATAAATTATATGAGTAGTTTGCAATAAATGAATAAACTGTACAATACTTGGATACTATACTGTATTTTAAGCGCTGAAGGCTATAACAAATATAAATCTGGAGAGAAAGTAGTTTTTAGCAAATCCTTGACATCAAACTATTTTTTAAACTTCTCTCACTTTAATCAAGGATTTGAAACCACTTTTAAAATGTAAAACTTCACACTCTTTGCACGTATTTATAGCAGTCTTTCACAGTTTGCGTGAAATCTAACTCACTTGTCAATACTCAGACGTTTTAGTTATAATTATTTAATTAGAAATACTTTTATAATATAATAAAAAATATATTACTAAAAATCAACTTTATAAAATGAAATGATATACCTTTCCATTTGTGTTTCTTAGGTGTTTGTAGACTTTGTGCCACAAATAGTCTGCCAATAGTTTAGTATTGAATTCTATAATATAAATGAAAGTAACGTTTATAAAAAAAATGTCAAACACTTGTCAGTGGATGAGATGTTCACAAGAAGTAATCCAAACAACGATTTTTAGTTATTTTAAAAGAATTTCTAAATAAATGGGATTTTCGTTGTTTTGGTGAACATCTGAAAGTTAACTAATATTTATTTGGAGGAAAACTTAAATTATATTAAATAACTTTATAAAACTTATCAATTATTAAATAAAAGGAAAACTTCTTGTTTTAATACATGTATTAATATATCGTACGTTTGTATAAATTATAATACAATATTAATGTTTTATAATATATTATTTAAGACTTACATTCGAAATATTTGTGCAAATATTACATAAACATCAGAAAACTAAGCATACAATATAATAAATACAATATTATAAAACAGATTTATTGAGAATTTCTTATCAATCTCTATATTACTGTAATATATTATACATAGACTTTGTAATGAATATACAATTAATTGAAATCCTTCTCAACTGTTATAACTTATAACAATTGTTATCAGAAAACAATATATAAAAGTACTCAAATGATGACATTTTCAAAATTTTCAAACCATATGATTATTTTATTTATCACTATTCTTACTTAACTTAAACTTTCAAATCGTATAATCATTATTTTTAAAAATCTTTATAATTTTAAAATACTTATTGACTGAACAATATTTTTATTAATTAAGAATAAAAGTTTATATGAATTATAGTAATTCTTATATAATTTAAATGTTCAAATAATAGTAAATAGAGTGCATATAAAGTGAACCACAATTATTATACAATAATAATTGAAATGATTAACCGTTTCCTCTTTCGTTGTCTGTTACTAATCACAAGTACTGTTAAAATGAACATTAAATGAACATTTCATTAACTTTTTTTTGCCTATAATTTAAAAAATAGCATGATTTTTCTCATTTTAAGCGAAAATAATTTTTATATAAGTTTATATAATTGCTTATAAAAATAAACTATGTTTTACTTACAATATAACCTTATTATTGATTGTAAAGTCACACATGAAATAAATAATATACACTGTTATAATGAATTCAAAAAATTGATTTCAAATTAACAAAATAATTCAACAAAAACTAAGTCTTTGTTCTACTTATTCACTAATCCGTGATATTATTTGAAAATAACAAATATTTTATAACAATTTAGGGCTTTTCGAAAATATTAAATAACATATGCGATGAGAACTACAGTATATTATATTATTTGTGAGAGTATTTGGTGGAAAACAGATCCAAAATTGTTTGCTATTTGTCTAATGAATACAAATATTTGATAAAAATAAATGTGATGTTTAGGGCAATGAATTTTCGAGTTTATAACTTGTCATGTATTCAAAACATCTAAATCGACTCTTTATTAGTTTATATTAATTGAAAGCAATCTATTCTATGAGTGAATATTAAATAATCTATTTGTCGAAACGTTAAATTTATTATTATTATGATGAGATAATAAGTGATATCTTTCCTCCTATGGAATCAACAATTCTAAGACTTTGTGCAAACTTTGTAATTTATCACGG